ATATGACTTAAGCCATATTTCGATGACACTGAACGCCTTAAATAGTAAATGGAAGTTTTTATACACTCGTTCATGATGATAAAGAAGACATTAAAATAGTTACACTCGAATAAATAGTATTCCATGTGTGAATATGAAGATGTGGATTTTCTATGCACTTGCACCGTCACACTCATCTCATGGTAATGATCTCTATTCGACTTGGTTAAGTATTACGTGAATGATGTCTCAAATTCAGCGGACACTTGTTAGTCATACACCATTACAGTGTCTGCAAGCCTTAGTTACATAACTGAAACTAGTCTCATAGTGTGTTTGCTAATCATTTGCATCAAAATATCTAAATGTTTTGAGAGATTGTAGACTACCCATTATAGTACTAAATAAGTTATATGTGGCATGCAGATTGCGCGCGTAAACAAAATTGAAAAGCTCCAAACATCATGTTTATGTAAAACTCTAATGTTATCGGTTGTAAGACAAACAATGGATATGCGTTGATTGGAAAAGCTAGTGATGAGACACAATACTCACAGCTGATATGTTGGAGCATCGTGCACAGTTAGGAGCTCAGTTTTCCTGGTGTTAATTTTACAAGTGATATGGATATTCCTGTTTCACCGGTTCTAAAATTGTCAAAAACAATAAAATCCGACTAAAGTGTTCGATTACATAAAATGTTTGTAATTTATTTGTTTGAGGAAACAAGTTTTATACTTTCATGATTCTTTTCAAAAATTATTTAATTAAAATTAAAAAGTATGTTTTAGTTTTTCCACTGTAAACTTTAATCTGTTATGATAAAAATGTATTGTTTTCATTTTTATTAATCCATATTCGAATAATAGACATATCATTTTTATCTCTTATAATTGAATAAGTTGATGGTAAACACATATGTAACCATTCAATGAGTTCATCATTGTTCGATGAGATATCTTTATGATTCCATTTATCATCTTTACATTGAAAAATTAATGATCGAAGATTATTCATTGTTTTAATAAGATCTAATATATTCGTTCGATTTTCAACTTTAATTAAAAGAACTTCACATTGACGTCCAAGTTGTGAATAAGCTAAAGTATTACATTCAATAGAATTAAAATATTTTATATTTGATGAAAATTTAGTTATAAAATTAAGACAACGAATTGATGGACAAATAATTTGTTCTAATGACACGTTTAAATCAATTGAATAGAAAAATTTTAATGAATAAAGACAAGGTGATAAATTAAGTAATGTTTGTAATTGATATTGAGTATAATTTTCACTTAATATTACTTCAAGTGTAGTCAATCGATGTAATGAAGGAATATATGAGCAAAATTTATCATCGAAAGGAATACTAATTTTTAAATGTTGAATATTTGGAAATTGAATTGGTAATGAATTTAAATAATTAATTGTATTTGTATTATATATCATATATTGTAAACAATTAACTCGTTTATATGACCAATAATGATTTTCATAAGGACAAGTATATTTCGATTTTAATATATCATAAAAAACAAATGTATCAAATACATATGGTAATGTATAAAGTATACCATGATAATATGTTCCAAATGGTATACAATCACATTGTATAAACCATTGATGTTTTTCAATCCAAAATGAATTTCTATATGTATCAATTAATTTATTAAGTTGTTCATCAATATTTTTATAATGTGAAAATTCAAAATACATTCGTAATTGAAAAATTTTTAATTTAGTTAAATATTTCATAAGAATTTTTTTTCCATCTATTTCCACTTAAATAAATATCCATTGTTTTTAAT